AAAAAAGCTCACTACAGCTGCAGCATAGTCCATAGGATTTTCTCCACTGAAAGTAAAGGAGGCATGTTCAAGCTCTAAAACCTTCTTACTAATAATAGCAATATTTTATTCTCTTTGCAGAGAGAAATAGGACTTTTCATGTATTTTCAGGTATACCATCCTACATCATTATCTTTGAGAAGTTGTAGTAACATATATTTAAAGTCTAACATGAATTTTATCTAGTATAAGAAATGTCTTCAGCGGGTTATAGAAAAAAAATTAAAATTATCACCCTTTCAGATATCAGGTATGAAATGGGAACTGCTCAGCAATGTCCTTTAGTCTCTGGGGATAACAACAGTTATCATTCCACATGTGCTGGTATGATCAGGCACAGATTTTACATATATACCAAGTTATTTTTTTAAAAATAACACAAGCAGTCCATCCTTATCACGCTTCAAAAGCTTTCAGAGATTGGTAGTGATTTTCTGATATTTAATTTTTTAAGATATCTCTACAATGAGATATGTTCACAGTTTACAACAACACGATGGAACAGCTTCTGTTTCCAATGACTGCAATAGGAATTTTAAATGGGCGGATTCTCATCCAAAAAACGAAAAATATTGTTTCATTGCAAAAAAGAAAAGGACATACTTGTTGCTATCAAAGTATTTACCCTCACAGTGCTAATATGAAGGGATTAGAGAAAAAATTATCAGCAGCATACAAACACTTTGAAAGAGAACTAACAGTAATTCAATCCTGCCCAAGGGGTGCTGCTTGATGGCTGCTTGCCTGGCTAACTTCTGCTTAAAACTGTTACACCAAGATACAAAATTATTTCTATTTTTAAAAATTAGTAACAATATCTATATTACATACGAACTCTGTAGTACTGCCATCTGTGATGTGCAAACCCTGAACATACGTGTAGATATCTATAATATATATAGGTGGTGAACTATTAAAAGAATTGTTTCTACAATGAAGTCTTATTTTAATTAGTAATTTAATTCCTTTTTTCTTGCTGACATTCTACCTCCATGTGAATTACACCCTCCTCAAGAGTATAAAAAGACTGAAGAAATAATTTCACCAGTTGGTGTTTTGTCAATATTTTCCCGGTTTGTTTTAATTTATATAGCTATCTATACAAATGGGCTGTTAAAAGCCTCCCTAATTTTGAGTTTGTAAGTAGTTGTATGCAAACCAAACCAGAGATGCAGAGTGTTTGCAGCCTGGAGCACTCCACTAGCAATTGTGACCGGAAGTAGATGCTGGAAGACCTGCAGTCCCACATCAGCAGAGGAATGGACAGAGGAGCAATGGAAGGCAGGCAGGAGGGAAGGCAGGAAGGCAGGAAGGCAGGAAGGCAGGAAGGCAGGAAGGCAGGAAGGAAGGAAGGAAGGAAGGAAGGAAGGAAGGAAGGAGCACTGGCTATCCTGGACGTGCTATTGTAGTGAAAGGCAGGAGACAATTTGATGGGCTACCAATAATCATGGGAGCTCTACATCCAAATTGCATTTCCATAAAGTCATACATATTATTTTAGCCACAAATGTAGGAGTGTAGTAGAAATACAGAACTTTCTATCAGTTTACTTATTCTGGATTTCCAAGTTTAGTCCATGGCTCACTGCTAGTCCACAGGGTCATGGCAAATGGTCTGCCGGTCACTCACAGACCCGCAGCAAATAATACTTCATTTCCGTCTACTAGAAGGTCAGTGAGAGATGTACATAACTGTCAGTACTAAGTTTTGGGGGTTGGTAGTAGTCTGCAGAGCCAAAATATTTTGGAGCTATTGACTTGATCGTCCTTTTTTTTCTAAGCAAACTGCAATCACTGGCCAATACACAGAAATTCTTATTTATTGGTACGCTAGTCTATACTCAGCTGCATATTACTCTGTCTTGTAAGACTCAAACTAGCAACTTTGTTCATCTTGATTGCTCTTATCAGAATAAAACCACAAATTTCTCTGCTAGTGGTATGTTTGCTTTTAACTTTTATTGTGTTCTATGTCTAATTCTGGACCCAATCATCTGTCTGCACTTTGTTGTTGACTTCAGAGGAGTTTTATCTCTCCGCAGCTGACTATATCTTTACTACTGATCACGGGACAGAAATTCAGGACTCCCCAGCTAGAAAATTCAGTAGGAGTTTGGAGAGCAAAAGGATTGCGAACTAGATATTTCTCATAGGAAGGATACTTTGGCAATAGGTACAAAATAAGTAATGCTTCAGGACCAGATCCTTCTGATGGGATAATTTAACAAATGAACTTCAATTTATACCAGCTGGGACTCTGGCATGGTATATTCTGAATTAGCCAGTTCAGATTTTATAATTACTTTAAAATATGTAAGTCTGCAATATAATACATGGAGTGGAGGACTCTGATAATAACCAAAACAAAGTAACATGGGCTCACTGACTGCTTGATGGGAACTTATTTGTATTATATTTAAAAATAAGCAGGTTAAAGAGAAATTTTAAAATATTTCCCTAGAAATGTGCTTATGATTTGTGACTAACGGAGACTATCTCAGCAAAAGAAACAGAAATCCAGGGAAAGTCTTCCACGGAGTAGATTAATTTGGCAGGTGCCGTCTTTATCTGCACACTATAATTATAATAAAGTTGCACTATTCACTAACAGCGATTCATAGGTTTTTAAAGCCAAAGTGATTCGTGCAAGTGATCATAACCACTTTTATAATCTTTCATAAACACTCACTCTCTAATTCTTTCCTTCAAGCTAAGTAACCACTATTTATACCAAATCGTGTTTTGCAACCAGCTGGACTTGAAGACCTCGGCCACTAGATGATGTATAGCACATCCAGGTGAGGTGTTCTGAAAGGCTTTTTGCCTTCGCTGCCAAAATAACGAGCCAGATTCCCATTCTGACCCTCTAGCTGTGGTTTTCCAGCCACTTGTTCTGCTCTGAATTTATCTTAACTCCTACACTTCAACCATAAAAACTTTGTCATAAAAACTTCGAGCAAGTGCTCAGTACCTTCTCCACGGTGTACCAACCAGCTAAATATTCGCGGCCAACCCTTCCGCCCAATTGCCCGAAAGCTGTCCCGCTGTGCAGGTTGCCTGAGGACGAGCGAGGTGGGACGGCGCTCTCCGGGAAGAGCCCGGCGCCTCTGCCCCGCCGCTCGGAGGCGGCGGCCGGGGGCAGGAGGCAGACCTGCCTTCTCCCGCCGAGAGCGGGGCAGCTCCGTGCCGAGCCGAGCCGAGCCGTGCGGCGGGAGCCGAGCACCTGCAGCCGCGGGCTGCCCGCCGCGGCACGGGACAGCAGAGGTCGCCGCCGGCCCGGCGCTGGCCCGGCGCGCCGCGCTCCAGGTGCCGGCCGGAGCGAGTTCGGGAGGAGGGGGCCCCGCGCTGCCCCCGAGCCCTGCCGTGCCCCCAGCCCCGGGCTGAGCCTCTGCCGAGCCCGTGGGGCAGCCCTACGGCTGAGGGTGGGGGGCAGCCGCAGCTTGCGGGCCCGCGGTCGCCAGGGGTTAAAGGAGTGGGTGGGAGGTGATGGAGGCTGCGGAGCCCTCCCTTGCCAAGGATAATAAACCGGATGCCCTGACATGTTTTACTTAGCCCTTAGTGCTCCCTCGCTGTGAGGCCGTGGGGATCGGAGGGCTGGAGCCCCGGTCTCTCTCGTCCGCAGCTCCGCTTTAGGGGCACTTTAGGTGAATCAAAACTTGTTTGCAGGAGGCAAACCATACAAAGGAGGCTTTCAAGGGCCAGCCGTGCCAAGCAGGGCAAGGGAGCGAAGGCTGAGCAGGAGAAAATTAAAATAACAGTACCTCCCCTCCCTGAGGAAGTAACTCAGTTACTTCTTGCTGATGAAGTGCAGGGGGCTGTGTTTTATGACATTTCCTCGGTGTCTGCAGCTGTCAGGGGGAGCGGACAGGCATGAGCAGCCCCTCCGCGGTGGGTGCGCAGAAAACGCCTCCTCTCCCGAAACAGCGGCGGGTCCCATTCAGGCGGGATGGCGAGGCCGGGTCGGGGGCACGTCTCGCCGGCCTCTGCCGCCGCATCCTGCCTCATCCACGGCTCCTTGCGGCAGGGTCACGGCAGGGCTCCGGCCGGCGGCACTGCCGGAGGTGACACCGCGGATTCGAGCCCACACCGCACCCCCACGCCGCAGCCAGAGACCGCCTGACCGTGGCAGCGCCCCGCGACCTGGACAGCGACTTCCCGAGGGGGCGACTCGCTGCTGCCTCCCTGTTCTCTCTTCCCCGATGACGGGGGGCTCTCCTTTCTAACACTCACGGGGGGCAGGCAGCTTCTGCCAGCACCCTGGGCGCTACACCTCGCCCTCCCGGCCCCCGCCTGCCTCTGCCTCGGACCCGGGCGGAGATGGACCGGCGCCGGTTAAATCAGAAGGGATGGACTCGCCTCATCCCATGGGATTAAAATCTAAAAATTTTTAAAAATTTAAAAAATTCAGGGGCCACGGTCCCAGGACGGTGGCAGTGGGTGACTAGTGGCCAGCGGAGGCTGAAAGCCAACGGGCCGGACAGAGCCGCGACATTCCCAGCCCCCCTCTGCATTGCCGGGCGCCAGGCTTAACCTATAGCGATAATCCGTACTGCCCGCTCTTGGGAAGGGGGCTTCCTGACCGGGATGGAGAAAGGCGCTTAGGGCATACTGGCAAGAAGTTACCTGTCGTGTCATCTCCCCTTCCCTTCAGAAAGAGGGACCTAAGAAAGGACGTTCCCTTTCACCAGAAATTAAAATGTAAAGCACCAGACGCAGGTCTTCCCAGAGCCCGCGCTGCTCATCCCGGTGAGGTGAGAAAGAAGAGCAGAGAGAGGTCAAAAATCTCTTTCATCCCTTCAGTTGAATGAAACTGCCTGCAAATCCGCTCGGCCGTGCTGCTGACGCGGGATTTAGTTCCCAGCGCGCTCGCCCGGGCACCGGGGGCACGGAACCCCCCGGACAGGTGAACAGCACAACGAGAGGAACCAGAAGTTTTCAAAGTATAAATCTCTTCGCACTTACTTCTTCCCTGTCGCCGTACCCTGGAGGCGTGCTGGCTGCCAATGTATTCCATAAAGTTCAAAGTGATAAAAAACCAAGAAATCAGTCGCAATTGCATAGTAACCCTTTGAGAGTTCGACTTCTCCTTTTCGTCCTTTTTTTCTTTCCTTAAAAAAAGAAATAATAAACCGGGGTGGTAGGCGGCAAGGGATGAACACAGCAGCAGAAATACCTGCACTGAGATCCAAAGCTGGGCTTGGCCGGCTTGATGTCTTTTGCCTTTTTTTTTTTCTTCCTTTTTTTTTTTTTTTTTTTTTTTTTCCTTTCCCTTCCCCTTCGCTTTTCCTATTGCACTTTCCAGCAGTCTGCCCCGCTACCTGCCGCAAACCTCAGAGGGCAGTCAGCAGCGCAGAGGAGCCGAGCAGCCGCCGCCGGGGTCCATGCCGGGCCGGCGGCCGGCAGCATGTTGTGAGGGTGCCGGGGTGCGTGCGGCTGTGCGCGCCCGTGTGTGCGCCGGGCGGGCGAGGTGCCGACAGGACGGATGGATGGATGGCGGTGGGAGAGGAGTGTGCGAGGGCGGGAGCGGCGGGGGGGCAGAGGGAGGACCCAGCCCCGCCGCCGCCGATCCGGAGCAGCCGCGCTCTGCGCCGCGGGCACCGCCAGCCGCCGGGCGCAGGTGGGCCGGGCCCCCCCGGCTCTCCCGCCCGCCGACCAGGAGCCCCCGGGCTTCATGCGGGAGCTGCTCCTCAGCGGGGCCCCGGGGGAGAGGCCCCGGGGCGGGGCGCGCCGGGAGGAGGCGAGCCCCAGCGCCCCGGCACGGCGGGAGGAGGCTCCCCGCTCCCGGCAGAGCCCCCTCGGGGCAGCGGCGCCCGAGCATCCTCCGGCAGCGGGGCCCGCGCCGGCAGCCCCCTCCCGCAGGTCTCCGCTCGCCTCCCCTCCGCCGCCGGCCTCGCCGGGGTCACGGCGGAGATGCCGCTGCCCCCCGCGCCCCGGCCCCGCCGTGGGGAGGGGCGCCCCCACTCGCCGGGGGACGGGGCGGGGTGCTCAGCCCTTCCCTGCGGAGGGGCACACGGCGCGGCACCCTCTCTTCCCCGAGTTTGCCCCTTACATCCCGGCTCGCAGTGAAGGTGGGGAGATGGGAGTGGGGCGCTGCGGGGTCTCCTGCCTCTCGGGATATTTTTCTCCGTTGTGGCCTTTCCCCACTGGGCAGGGGTTTTCCGGGGTGGCTTCTCCGGTGGGAAGGAGCAGAGCAAACCCGCGTGTCCTGCCGGGGTCGGGGACCGTCCCCACGGCCGGGGGACGGCAGGCGACACACGGGGCTGGCCCCGGGCCGGGGTCGAGCGGAGCCGTGAGCCCGGGGTGAGCACAGCAGCCTCTCGCCCCGGGACCGCCGGGAGCCTCAGCAGAGCGCCGGCAGCAAGGGCACAGCTCGTCTGCACCTCGGTGAAGCGAGGCAGCCTGTTTGACAGAAGGGTATCGCGTTTCTTTTCTCCTGCAAGAGTTTCCTTTTGGGGTGAAGGGGAAGGCTACAGAGGGAGTGTGAGGTTGATTCAAGGTAAAACTGGCGACTTCACTGAGCCCCCTCTCGCTTGCCTTCTTATCTCGGGTGCCTATCGCTGGGATGAGAGAGTAAGCCCTGTAAAGCGGCGCTGATCGCATCAAGAACCTCAATGGTGTGAGGAGCGGCCACTCTTATTTGTAACTGTTTTCCCCACTCTCTCCCCCCGCTGTCTCTCTCAGAGCTGTTAAATATCGGCACCATAAAATGTGGGGGATTTAAAGGTCTGTGGGAGGCTCCCTTTGAAAAGGACTCTGGGGAAAGTCTTTCTAATCCAGGATACTTGAGCCGGATGGGGTGGGATTGCCAGAGAGGCATAAAATAAAAATCATTCAGCAGACAAAACTAGGGGCTACCCTGACATGTAGAAAGTGCATTTGTCTCGATGTTTCGTTCCGTTGGAGGTTGAAACTCCTTGTGTGCTAGTGTGTACGTATAAATAGCTGAGCAAGCCAGGCGAGTGGCATAAATAAACAAGGCAGTGGAGAAAGGATGGGACATGTATTTGAGCCAACCTGCAGCTAGCCAGTCAACTCACTCGAGCAGCATTAGCACCAGTGGGCAGAGAAAGCATGTCAAAAAATAAACGCTCCGAGAGAAACATAAGGAAAACATTAAACAAATGGGGAGTGCAACTCCCTCTCCTTGCTCTGACAAAGCACGACTGAGAAACTCTGCTCACTGTCTCTCCAGCCTCTTCCCTTCGCTGTGTCCTCGCTCCAGCAGAGATGCGTGGGACAGATGTGTTGGGAGAGAGCCCCAGGGACTGCTTGGGTCACCCAAGAGCCTCAGCAGAACCGACTTGTGGAGTGTGCACCAACCCAGGGCCAAGCAGTAGGGCAGGGCATGCATGAGTGACCAGCAGCGGGGGGGAGAGGTGGTTTATTGGCTGTGGAAGAGGGGCAGAGACATAGACCGAGGAAAAAACAAAAGCTGTGCCTTGACTCAAGACGGGATCCAAAAAGCGGCAGGGTGAGAGGACGCCAGGAGCCTGGTTGCCTCCACAAACCAGCCCCATTAGGGGGGAAGAAAACCACCCAACAACAATAACAAGCTGAACCCATAAACAGTTACTGCCGTTCTGCGATAAAAGGGGAAGATTTATATTGTTGAAATGTGTGGAAGGAGCTTGTTCCAGAGCAAAACTCTGGCGTGCAATTCTCTGTTTATGTCGCTCATCCCGATGGATGAGATATCAGCGGCAAAGTTCAGGCTGACATCAGCCCTGGGGAGGCAGAGCCAGCGAGCGGGCTGGGCTGCGCAGGGCTGCACAGCTGTGCCTGGGCCTGCGCTAGGTGGACGATCAGTTTTGGGGAGATGCAGCACACAAGAAGCCTCCCTTCACCAGGCTGGGAGACGTGAGGAGCAGCAGCAGCACACACTGGGAGGGAGCTGGATGCAGTGTGCTCTCCTTGCAAGCGAAACAGATGAATCGGAAACAGTTCCCAGGGTGGTTCAACGCGCCGCTCTGTTTTGGGGTTTATTAAAGAGGGTGGGGAGGGAAAGAATGGCTGATGGTCTCTGTGCTGCCGGAAAGTCAAATACGTCTGTTTTACTGAGCTGCAATGAAGCCAGCAGCAGGAGTCTGTAAAATCAACTAGGTATTGTTTTGCTGTGGTTTGGATTTTTTTTTTCTTTTTTTAAGGAGTGTAATCCTTTCGTCAAAGAGTAATAGTGTGTGGTGTTTTCACTATTGTAATTCCTGCCCATCCCGTGCAAAATCCCATGGCTAGAAAATCTTGATTTCAGTTTTCCAAATAGCTAATACATTGTATTAGAGAAAAAGGTGGCCTCAGGATCCTCAGATTATATTGCAAATAAAATATTAATATTCAATTATTAGCTTATATTGTGCTTGCTTAAAATGGCACTCTAGTCATAAAAACTAGCCATGTGAACAGGACAGCTGAATGCTCACCCTTTGTCATTCTTCTCTAGACTGGAAATAGTTTGTGTAAGTGAACAAAAGAGTCAGTAATTTGCCTTTTCAACTTGGGAAACACAGTAAAGGAATAAAGGATTGCTTCTGATATATAACTTGAAAACGAAGCATACTGTGTCTGATACATATTCTTATTTTTCAGGTACTGATCAGGGTGTAGATGGCAGAGGTCAGACTCCACCACCAAGGATTCATTTCTGGTAGCAGCCTCCCCACAGATCTGGGTCAGTAATGTCTGAGAAGGGAGAAGGGTTGGAGGACTGGAGCAGGAGTCCTGAGTAACAGTTGCACAACTCGACGCATCTACTATTTGTTAAACACCCACAATATTCTTGGCACCACACAGGACCCCAAATCATGACAGTCTTTGCTCCAGATTTCTCTTTTCCTGTGCTAACTAAGGGCAAGCACAGTTGGCAAAGCACACAGAAAGACACCAATATATAAGAAATTACCCAGAACCCACCCACCCACATACACACACACACAGTTACACACACATAGATGTAAGTATTTGTGTTTCTGTGTGTGTGTCTTTTCCATATTTCCCAATCTGACAGTTGTTACTTCTCTCTGTGTTTCCTAACATAACCCATTTGTTATTTAGTCATGTTCAATTTAGGAGGTTAATCTCCTGTAACATCATGAGTATTCTCAAAAGCTGTTAATATCACAAACAGAAGATTGTACTTGAATAGTCTAAGTATACTGAAAAAAGTGAGTGATGAAAAATGCTTTACTCACAAGCTGAACTTAAGTATACTTTTTAAAAATAAACTGATTCCGAAAAATCCAGTCCCAATATTCTTAGTAATGTCTTTATGTTTCAGATATTTAAAATATCTAATGGCAGAACACTAACAACATGTGCAGCAGAGAACAATCCTACACTGGCAGCAAATAGACTAGATGACCTAATTGATTTTTCCCATCTCCGACTTGTGCAATTCTGTCATTGTAATAAAATCCCAGTGTAATCAAAGTTTACAGGATCAGGTCCTAAATTAGCATGTCGATCTGGACTACCCCTCTGTCTGGGTCAGGTCCAAAGCCTGCTGCTGTCAGCTTGACCTTTTATCACTCTGAGAGAGGTTTGGATCTGGTCTTTGGGATCACACTGGAGGAGGGATGAATTGTTGTTTTATTGTATGCGTATTTGTGGGAAAAGCATACAAACAAATTTTGCAGCACAAACCTTCCAGATGCAGTTCAGTTAAGAAAGCCCAACAGGAAGGCCTCAAAATGAGAAGTTTTTGGCACAGAGGAAGTTTTAGCAGTTAATACGAGGATGATCAAACTGTGCTAAGTCATTGTTTCCCTGTATTCATCTATCAGTTGGTCTTCTCTTGGACTTGCGATCCAATTGTAAAACTCTTGGGATGCAGACCAACTTTTTGTTCTGTGTTTGCAGAATCTGTGCCTAGAGCAACTGTGTCTGCAAGAAAAAGTCTCAGCATTGCCATGGAAGTATCTGTGTATTTTGGGTGCAAATACTCATTCTAGAACTGAAGCAATTAACATAAATGTTTTTCTAATGTATGTTAAATTGAAAGAAACCCCAAAACTTTTGGTGTAGGCTTTAACCACCCAGAAGGCAATACTAGAATAACTGTATTGGCTTAAATTCATGCATCATTTTGCCCAAGTCTGCTTCTCCTGTGGTGACTGCCCATAGGGTGGAACTATCACTGGGTAAAG